CTATAAACGTGACATTAATTTAACATTTTTTTTCTAAATACAGTGTGTCCTTTCATTCTTGTCAGGTTGCATCATGAACAGTTAAGAGAAAAAAAAACAGACCAGTCTTTTTTAAAAAGCAAAAAATTGTCATGTATGATTAGTCTTCTGGAAGATCGATTTGCAGTAGTATATAAGGAATTTGAAGAAAAATATTAATTGGATTCCTGTGCTACCCACTTTTATGCCCTGGTTCTATTGGAGGAATTGCAGGCATATTTTCTTCCCAAAAGCTGCAATCTTCATATGGGGTCATGATTTCTAATCTTCAGTAGCAGGGAAGTCATTTGCTTTGCTACCTCCTCCAAGAACAATATAAATCTTCTCTACTCCATTTACTGAAAAATACATGCAGCTATTTAATCTTGTTGAAGTAAGCAAATAAACAGATTAATTTTTAAACTGATGACTCATTCTGAGTAAAGTTTATAAAAGCCAGTCTACACAGCTTCTCTACACTTTAATACCTGAATATATTTTTCTTCCCAATGGATAAAGGGCGATTTCCTTATGATCATAATGAAACTGTTGCTAACAATGGTGTTAGAAATGCTAACCCACAATGATGTCTTTGTATTCCATGCTAGTGTTGAAATCCATTTTTGGCTACCCAATTTCTAACTCGGCTTTCCTCAGTTTTATGCTCTTCAGTTGAGCTGGACTTCAACTCTTAGTACTGCAATCTGCAAACATGGAAATTGTACTTCAGCACATAAGGGATGTAGGCATTCAGTTGGAAAAAGATGCTGAAATTTTTCTAATTTTAATTTTCACTCATTGTTTCAGCTGGATTATTATACAATAAATGCATAAACATAAGAGAGAACTATTATTTCTTCCACTGGATCTAGCTAGTAGAATTCAGCTTCTCAAGTTGTTGCTATTCCTACTATGAAAATGATCTTTATTACTGTTCCTGGGATTTATCTATGTAGGAAGAAAATCTTGAAAAGTGTGGATTCTTCTCACAGATTCAAGCATTTTCAATATGTTTGTCTGATCACGGCAAGCTTGGAGCTATGACTTGTGAAAAGAACTTGGTATGTACTGATAAGGCAGCAATTTAAATGGAATTGTTGCAGCTGAAGGTAAACAACATGAAGTCACATGCTAGATTGGATAGTGGAGTGGAATCTCAGTGAATAAGGTGGATGGCCAGATTAATATATTATTAACATATTATTATGTTAATAACAATAATAATGATTCTGCAACAACAAAAGACAGAGGTGCTATTTGCCCAGAAACCATATCATTCTCCTTTGGTTTTGTTATAACCTGGTTGGGTTATCACTCCCTGAAAGAGCAGGTACATGATTTCTGGGTCTTTCTAAACTATTTAGCTACTGCTAAATAGGCAACTGGAGGCCACGGTTAGGGTGGTCTGCATCAATTGTAGCCCAACCTAAAGCAGGAGGCATGGGTAGCAATTACTCACATCCTCATCAACTCTTGGTTAGATTACGGCAATGTATTTTGAAGACTACCTAGAATTAGAATTGGTTAAGAATGTAACAGCCTATTCTCTGGTGACTGAGAGTCACTAGAATGATATGAAACCAATGTTGTGGAAGCTACAGTTGTCAATAGACTTCTAAGGGGAAATTGAAATGTTGGTTTTCTCTTATAAAGAACTATATGGTTGATATCTTAATATCTTCAAGATTGCATGTGTCATATAGAGTCAACCATTCTAGTGAGTGCTTGCTTCCTGTTCAGGATATTACATATCAGGAAAAAGAATTTGAAATATTTTTCTGTATGTGCTCAATCACTGTGGAATTGTCATTCCATGGAGTGTGAACGGCATCTTCTCTGCCTTTTGAAAGGTATTCAAAATGTAATTGTTTCAATCAACATTCAGTCTATGATTTCACTTACAGTGGAGAATTAGAGCAATTGTATTTATTACAACTGAAGATAAAATTACATGGTTTTCAGATTTTTATAAGTATATAAACAGCCAAGAGCCCAGTTGGAATACTGTAATAAATGATGACACAATTACACATATTTCTGCATCAGAATAATTCATGTCTCACATATCTAAGAGAAGGTGCTGTGAAAGAAAGAAGAAACTTTCTAGTGACAGCATAATTTTGTTCTCTTTCCCTGTCAAGGCTCTTCCTGTCATCATATCCTCTGGGAAGCTACATCATTATTTTAATTAAAGCAGATCCTATAATCTTGCAAGTGTCAGAAAGCCCGCTGAAGCCCATAATATGACTAATGCAAGCAGAGGCAATGATAATGCTACACGGTTCTACCCGCAAGAGAGATCTGAGGAAAAATGGAGTTCATTCTGTATCAGGCAATTACGGTTAAGAAAGAACTTAGAATAACCACATGCCCCATTTGGGTAGAATATATTTCTATCTGAAATAATGTATTTGAAAAGATGTCCAGACCAGCTCCAGTTTATAAACTCTTAAAGGGAGAACCAGAGGTCTTGCAGTTGCCCTTTAACATTGAGCCCTGGCAGTCGATTGAGCTCACAAGTCATCTGGCCATTATGATAAGATGCATTTACATAATAGTCATACTTTCTAAATTTGCAGGAACATATACCTTGCATAGTTTTTAAGCCAATGTATGATCAGTCTGCCTTAAAAATGTCATGGATCATATCATAGTATATCTTCTGTTTCTTTTTCCCTCACTGTGTAACCATGAGTAGAGGGGAAACAGCAGAAAAAACTTGGCAAAATGTTAATTTAAGAAACTGATCCACCTTCCTATTTTTTTTAAAAAAGCTTTCTGATCTTCTTTGAGGAATTAACCATAATGCATCCCAGAGTTTACAGAACTGCATGAGTTGGTATGCTTATCAATGTTACGTTGATAAGAACAGTTTTTTCCCCGAACACCATCACTCTGCTAAACAAATAATTCCCTCAACACTGTCCAACTATTTACAAAGTCTGCATTACTATTACTATTAATCTTCTCATCACTCCTTATCACCCATCCCCTCCCACTTGTGACTGTATGACTGTAACTTTGTTGCTTGTATCCTTATGATTTTTATTGACCGTTTCCTAGTATGATTTGATTGCTTATTGTACCCTATGACTATTATTAAGTGTTGTACCTTATGATTCTTGATGAATGTATCTTTTCTTTTATGTATACTGAGAGCATTTGCACCAAGACACATCCCTTGTGTGTCCAATCACACTTGGCCAATAAAAGAATTCTAATTCTCATTCTAACATGGGATAGTATAAGGTGCCTGCCTTGAACAGGGGGTTAGACTAGAAGATCTCTGAGGATCCTTTCAGTCCTATGATTCTGTAATTCAAATGTATCATGGTATCTAAAAACCAAGCTGGGAGCATTTATTCATAACAAAACAATAAAGAATCCTCATAAACACATTCTAGGTCAATCAGCCAATGGATATCATGTACATATAATCATGTTCCTGCCACTCTTTGTAATCCTTTCCTTTTTCCATCCCTCCATAAGCTTTAGTAAAATATAGAAAGATTATACAGACAATGTCTATCAAAAGAGAAAATCTTTTGTTTTACCCAGTTATTTTCAGAACTGAACCATAAGGTATTGTGCAAAGTATCCCTTATCCTTCATTATTTTCTATGCTTTGATTCTTGGAATTTTCTACTAACAGCAGTGGTTGGAGGAATTTTAGAACAAAATCTGGTACTGGCCATGAAGTTCAAAATCAAAATTTATTTCATGTTAAAATACCCGAAGAGTCAAATTGATATATACATGCTATGTACATTTATCCTGTGCAGGTTTATGCAGAAGTTTCACTCTCAAAAACATTTAATCCTAACAAATGTATTGAGTAGAAGAACTAAATAATGTCATTCTATATGTACCTTCTCGGAAATAAGTCTTACCAAGTTCCAAAAGTTGTATTCTTTAGTTAATGGGTTTTAAATGGCTCGCACAGATTTATGCTTTTTATTCTTAATTTTTTATATATTTAATTCTGATCATGTGTAATGGGTATGTATGTACAGGATATTGCTAGACATTTTGCTATTTGAGTTAATACAATACAATTAATCTTCACATACATATTCTCCAACTTGTATTGGTATCTGAAGTTTATTCCTTTAAATAAAAATGTAATAATCAAAACATATTGCCATGAAGTGGCAGCTGCATGTTGGCCACTTGTAGGATAATTCTCTCAATCATACTCTTGAGGAACAAGTTCTCCTTGAAAGCTATGATAGTGTTAATACACTTGTCAACTTTTGAATGCGGTGTGGCCATCGTTCACCATCTTTCAAAGCTTTCACATGAACAATTGAATGAGTGCTCATGCATTCACTTCAAGCAATTTCATGAAATCTAGGAATTTTTAGTGTTGGCTAAACTTTGTTAGAAGATAGTATTACCAAAAGCATAAGATCTCTGAGGGATCAGGCCAACCTCATCCCATCCAGCACTCTGTTGCCATACAGAACTAGTGTCTATCGGAAACTCACAGCAGAACATGAGTACAATATCACCTCCTACTCATATTTCCAGCCAACTGGTATCAGGATTTTACTCCTCCAAAACTGAAGGTAGCAAATAGCAATCAGTCGTATCAACCATCAGGAGAAGCTACTAATATTCTTATTCTTTGTGAATGTGTCCTTCCCTTCTTAGCTATCCAGAGTGCTGACCATTGCTATAGTTTCTGACTGCAACCATAATTAAAGTCTGAATTACGTCTTCTTTTCTCCATCCAGCATCTCCTGCAATCCAGCTTGATTATATGAATGTTATCACTGCAAGAGAGATCGGTGGGAGAAAAAAAACCCAACATCATCCTATTCCCTTATCATCTCAATGTGAATATTGCAGATGTGCCCCCCCCTTTTAAAAATTCTAACTTTAAAAAACAAAGGAACTGTGCCAATTTTCCTTATTTTGTAAACAACAGCAACTAACTGAAGAACTGTTGCAAGCGGAGAAAAAGGAGTGAAGATACTCACCTGAGAAGAACTGGCTAATAGAGTGAGGCAGAAGAGTTAGGAAAGCCAATGGGCTGGCAAAGGAAGTTGAGAGTGCAGCAGAAATATAAGCCACCCCAGCCACCAGGGAATCAAGGCAAGCCAAGGAAGTATACAGACAGAACATGATGAAGTTCCGCATATTACTATTCCCAATGCAGTTCCCTGTGAAGAAACAGTGGTGGTCATGCCTCTGGGTGGTTCGGGCACACAGTCTACAGAAGTGAGTGCCAGGCAGGGCTGAAGCAGGGGACCTGTTTCCATCTGGCCACTCAGCCACCCCTTTGGCTCCTCTAGCCAAATCTGGGCCCTTCCCCAGGTCCTCCTCGGGGGAGTTCTGTATTACCAGGATATAGTTGCCCAAAGCATTAGCTGAGAGGTACAGAAAGAGAGACCCATGCAGCAGAGCAGAGGAGAAAAGTGGGGTGGTGGAAGGGTCTTTGAACATGCTTGGAATGAAGAGGAAGAGCTGGAGGACGAAGGTCACTAAGGAGATACAGAGGAAGTAGGCTGGAGCGACCACATTGAGAAACCTGAGCACTAGCATTGTGGATTACATTCCTGCAGGGGAGAGCAAGAAGAGAACATGCATTACCACCAGCAACCTCACCCCTCCACTTGCTCTTTCCCAGTCATGTCAGGTTCCATACCTCCTTTGCCAGTTCACTGTTGGGAAGGCAAACCCTTCCCACAGCCCCTTCTCCTTCCCGTCTGCCTGAAGGCAATCCCCTCTCCTCCTTGTCCTCTTCACTTCCTGCTCAGTCAGGATGCAAAGAGATTCTCTCCAAGGGAAGAGAATCTCTCTGCTGTACTTTAGAGGCACCACTCGGATATGATTACAGCGTTTGATGGGTAACACTGGCTCTTCCTCTGTCCCTGCCTATTTCCCTGGCAGCTCCTACCCTTCCTGGCTTGAATTCTCTCCATGATTTCCTGGAAGTGCATTCTTCCATTGACTAGTGAGCTTACTTTAAATTGAGACGTGGGGGGGGGGTCATTTCAAAGTCTGCAGTTCCCGAGTCCCTCTTCTGTGCAGGATGTCCTTCTTACTATTACTAATAATTGCGCAATATTATTGAATAATAGTGGGGAGTTGAGGACTGTTCTAATCTGCTGCAATAGAGATCGTGAACAATGCTCTAATTTAGCATTGAAAGCCACAAATCTTCTCAGCTGCTGTCTGGACATACACATAATTAGGAAATGCTGCAAACAGCTGCTGAAGTGCTGCCCAGCCTCCAGCAGTGCACTGGGAAGGAACTCCGCCACACAGCCAAAAGCTCTTGCTTTCTTCTCTCTGTCTGGCTGCTGTGACTGTGCAGTCAGTTCACATTAAAAAATGAAGCTACCAAACGTTCACTTCCAGACACCCAAACATGGATGCTTTCCTATGACTATTTCTCACCTCCTCCCCACCCCACCTTTCTCACAGTGTCTCTAAGCTTCGTTCTCTGTTCCAAAACAAATCGATGTACGACACATACATAAAGCACTCAATGACAAATCTTTAAAAGACAGGGTTCTTTATAAAAAAGAAAAGAGAATGACTGCAGTAAAGAGACCAATACACAGAGCATTCTGTTTCCCTAGCAGCAGTCCTGGTTTTCACACACACACACACACACACACAACACACACACATACACAAACAGACACACGCCACCCATTCACTGTCTCTAGTGAAATGCAAACTTAGGAACTGCATTTCTCCAAGAAAAGACTCTATAGCACATAGCTTAAAACAGCAAAGAACTTTTCTGGGCCAGCACTTTAATCCTGATGCCAAGTGACTTCCTTCTCCACTTGTGAACTCAGCTTTGTCTGGTTACCTGTCTGCCAGGATTATTAAATAACCTTGGAATCCCCTTGCTAGTAGCCTTTATGGATTCCCCCACCCTAGCGTACAGATACACACAAACACACACACACACACATTTACACAGACTTACCTAGATGCCTGAAGCCAAGCAATAGGTGCTGTCCATTCAGCACCGTCCTCCTTATATGTCCTGGCACCCCAGGCCAACGGCTGCTGTTTTGTCAGCAGCAGCAAATGTGAAAAGCAGAAGGACTCAGAGAGCTCCCGTTAGAAGCATCGCCGCTGCCACCAGCTCTCCAATGCACAGGGCTCAGTGGGGGTTCCTCCCTCTGCAGCCCCCACAGGTTCCTGCTTTGTCTTAACAGGGGAGCTGTCCTCCCCTTCAGCGCCCTGATGTGCGTTCGCCTGAGGCGCGCCACAGGGAGCTGTCCCTTCGGCACCACCAACAGCCGCACTCTCGCTCCCTTGCTGGAGAGGCGGGGGTATAAACAGCGGTCTGTGAAAATCCGGAAGAGGTGAACCTCTACCTGGAGCCCTTCCAGGCAGCCTCCCTTGAACATATAGCTGAGCCTAGAAACTCAGAAAGACAATGACCTGTGGAATAAGGAAGAAAAGACAAGTGTAGCACTTGGAGTTCAACTACATTCTCTTCTGTTTCCTCCCATCCATTTCAACCTTTTTTTCCTATGAGGGGTGATCAGAGGCTGATGAAAAGCTTCAAGCAGGGCTTAAGGGCAATCACATTCCCGCAGGGTTGCCCTCTTTAAGTGTCATTTATTACTGAAAGCTTTGTTGTGTTTGTCACTGGTTTAGCACATATTGTAAATGTCTTCCAGATTGCTTTGAAAAATTAAAGGGATGAGTAATCATTTCTGGACCAAAATAATAACAAAGTTTGAAATTCTATTGTATAATTAAGTCAAATCCAATTTCCACCTAATAGGGGTTAATGAGCACTGAAGCATTGTGTACCTCTACAAATGCTCCTTTCCCTAATTCTACATATTAGTCCATACTGGATCAGGCAGTTCATGAACTTGGCAGTTATGATGGAATTGGATAAGTCTGGCTGCACAGAAATCCGATGACTGATTCAGAGACTTTTTTTCTTTCTTTAACCTAAATTGAAGCATTCTGAATGTGAATTGATACATTGCACGTATCTCTTAATTGGTGGTGCAGTTATTGACTTGCAAGGTAGGTTTTTTACATATCACATCTTAGAATGGAAAACATGAGCATGCTTGGTATAAAACTGGGATTTGGTTGTGCTTGTGATATACTGAACAGTACTACTCTTACTATTAGCAAGGAATGCTGCATATACCATAGATATATAGTACCTAAGTCTAGAATCTAGCCTAGACTTTCTCCCTCTTTCTAGAAAGCATGTATGTATTCATTGATCATGGCAGATTGATGAACAGCCGATTGATGACTCTGGTTTATGAAACATTGCAGCTTGGAATATAAGGGGTGTAAATGTCAAAGAGGAGGAAATGAAAAATGAAATGAAAAAGAAATACAGACACATTGTGTGTCTGTGAAAGTAAGAGAAAGGGAAATAATGTAAAAGAGCTGAATTTTTTACATGGAATGGATTTGAGTGAAATGTGCATTTAAACATGAATGAAATAGATAAACCTATAACAGAAAATATGCAATTGCTATCAGCTGATGGTTGTGTGTATAAATTAAACTAGGAATCCATAAATTGGTGATGGTTCTTATTATACTTAAATGATGCGATAGTAGAAGAATCAAATATCAGTTCTGGCTAAAATGGTAACATTTAAAATGAATGTAATTGGGGTGGGTGGAGGAGATAAAGTTTCTTCTGAGACAGCTATAAATGGATGAATGGGAACAGAGAAAACTGGCCCATTTGTAGACCCAATACTGAGTAAAGATTGTGATTTATTTGCTTAAAAAACCTATGCTTGTTTTGAATTCATATTTATTGTATGTCTTTTCATTCTTCCACATGGAAAAGGAATGAAGATAAATCTAAAAGCATCATATAATTGATTGGACAATTGGAACAATAACAAAACCAGGATAATTATTGGAGGATACAAGGAAGGATAGAACAGCATAGAACAGAATACAATTCTTCCTTGGCCAAGTGTGATTAGACACACAAGGAATTTGTCTCCGGTGCATAACCTCTCAGTGTACGTACAATAGTGATATATCATTATCATAGTCATTGTAAAAATACATTCATCCTAAAACATTAGATACAACACTTAGTGATAGTCATGGATACTAAATAAGCAATCAATATAAATCATACCAGGATACTAAGTCAGCAATATAAGTTGTAAGATACAAGCAACAAAGTTATAGTCATAAGAAGATAAGGAGATAGGTAATAGGGAAGATGAGAATAATGATGGTAATACTGCCTTTTTAGGATAGTTTGACAGTGTTGTGGGAATTAGTTATTTAGCAGAGTGGTGGCATGGGGAAAAACTGTATTTGTGTCTAGTTGTATTGACGTGCAGTGCCTTACAGCATCATTTTGAAGTAGAAGTTGAAACATTTGCTGTCCAGGATGCAAGCGATCTATAGATATTTGCACATCCCTCTTTCTGGCTTGTGCAATATACAGATCCTCAATGGAAGGCAGATTAGTAGCATTTTTTTTTCTGAAGTTCTAATTATCCGTTGAAGTTTTGTTTGTCTTGATTGGTTACACTGCCAAACCAGACAGTTATGGAGGTGCAGATGACAGATTCAATAATTCCTCTGTAGAACTGTATCAGCAGCTCCTGGGATAGCCTGAGCTTTCTGAGTTGGCGCAGGAAGAACATTCTTTGTTGTGCTTTTTGATGATGTATTTGATGTTAGGTGTCCATTGTAAATCTTGAGATATTATAGAACCTAGAAACTCAAAGGTCTCTACTGTTGCTACTGTGTTGTCTAGTATTGTGAGTGGTGGTAATGCAGTAGGGCTTCTCCTAAAATCTACTATCATTTCTAGTAATAGGTGAATAAAGTTAAAAATAATGAGATTATTTGGGATGAAACTGAAACGAGAAAATGCTAAAAGTAACATTTTATACAGTATATTTGTATAGAAATGATGGTGATATATTTTAAGAATGGACTTGAGCTTAATGGTATAAATGTTATCCAAGTTCCCAAGTAAAAGTGTGGTAAGTACCGCATACCATGTGGTAAGATGGGCAGCCAATAAATTTTATAACTAAAACAATTAAATAAGTAAAAGTCATGCTTAGAGTGGCTGGAAGACTTTTTAAATCTGTATAAAGACTACATCTATGCCTGCTCCATGAGTAAAATGATCCATTTATCTTGTTCATTCAAAACAAAGCATTAATAATTTCACAAGTGTTTGTTGAATAAAATCCTGGTCCCATAAATGGTACAAGGAAGATTTCTTTCTCCCTTTTTCAATGTTTCACAAGAAATTTAATCTAAATATGATGCCTATCAAGTTGGCTTTTGTGATCAATGTCTCTGATGGTTTTATTGCCATTTAGAGACTTTTTTCCTCCTGGATTGCATATGGTTCTGCAGTAATGTAATAATAATTAATTCTCAATTTAATTTTTGCTGTAAGAACCTGCTGTGTTAGGACATTTTTGAATATAATACCTGGTAGCTCTTTATACAACAATGCTTTTTTTTTCAGTTCCTTTTTTCCCATTTTCATCAAAAAGTCCATAAATACCTCAATGGTGTTCAATATAATATAATAA